GAATTTTCACTCCTGAAGCTTCGAAGTCCGGGACCCACCCCGGTACGAACGCACGAGTTCCCCTTAGGCATCCCCAATCCCACTCCCACTGAGCAAGACCGGATCCAACGTAGCCGTGAACTCTTGCATCGTGCAGTGTGTTGCTTACAGCACACCTTCGCCGCGGGGGGCCACGGCCACCTCGAATCGCCGCCCAACGCATTCACTTGGTATGATCCGGTAGTCAAATCATGGGTCCATCAGCAGGCATGTCATTGTGTAGTGCTAGCTGCATGTCAGTATTCTTTGAACATATCCAAGCATTGGATGTTTGCCTGCAGTCACGATTGGTTCGTCGAACATGCCAGTCAGTGCTCTCATTCGAACCATTCTCCGTATGCAGGTATTCAAGATGAGTCGGGCACATACCTCAGCCGAAAAACTGCTGAATATCCCAAAGATTTGGCTACTGCATTGGCCCACAAGTTGAGTGCCCATATTGGACCCCGCATCCCCGATTTGACTCTTGAGTTTGCCCTCAGCTTGATCCCTGTCAAACCCCTTCATGATCCACCCCATGCATTGCATGACGGGGGTGGACGCAGTAGCCAACCAGATTGGAGTTTTCCTCCGAATATTCCAGATGTTCTCAAACCCCTTCGTGACCGATGGATCGCTTTGATTTTAGAACAGAATTTGCACAAACAGTTTGTTGCTCACATGGAACTGCAAAATCCAGATTCCCCGTTTTCGGAGGAATGCATTGAGAAGTTTCAGGAGGTGTTTTCTTCCTGGATTCCCACCGATTGGTCCGTACGACCTCACCAACCTATGTGCCTGAATGCCCTTCACCACTTGAGCCAACACATCCATGACCCGGATTCTCAGGTCTTTCCCTGCTTAATTGCAGGAGTATCAGCCGGTACCTCGGATGACCCGATACGTGCAAGTCAGATCTTTTGGGAACGAGACCTTAACTCGGATACCGATCCTCCTTCTTTGCAAATCCATCGAGGTAACTGGAAATCAAGTGAAGATCACCCTGAACTCACGTGGGAACTCATCCAAACTGAGATAGATCAAGGATGGGTCTTTGAGTTTGATGGAGACGAAACTGATGCCCAACAAGAATATCCCCAAGGAGTTGGATTGGGTAAATTGGGAATTGCATTCTCTGATTCGCGGCCTCCCCGATTGGTTCTCGACAGTAGTGTCTGTAACACCAATCAGAATTGCATTATTCCAGAACGCCAGTGCTATCCATCAGCTCGAGACGTCGTTGAGAGTTTTCCTCTTCGACAGTGTTCGGAGCCTCAGCATGCTGCCACGTTCGACATTAAATCAGCCCACAAGCGAATCGTCTTGTCCGAACACCATCAGGGATTAGTCGGATTCACCTTTCAAGGTCGACTTTTCTTCTATAGGGTCTGTCCCTTTGGAGCCACATTTAGTGCCTTTTGGTGGGGTCGACTCGGAGCCTGGCTGGTAAGAGTATGGCATCGCCTCATTTGGGTCCAACACGGCTTATGGTTGTTCGTCGACGACTTCTTGCTCACTCAACCGAAGTCTATCCTTCCACTATTTGCCACTCTCCTTGCCCTCTTCTGTCGAGTGTTTCGTATTCCTCTCAGCTGGAAAAAGTGCACCCTTGGACCCATGGTGGATTGGATCGGATGGCGATTCAACTTCTTCAATGGTCTTGTCAGTATTCATCCTGACAAACAGAGCAAACTCATTGCCCAAATAGAGGAACTTCTAAACCATCGTCATTGCTCCAGTAAACAGCTGGAGCGCTTTACCGGCCTCGCATTGTGGATCACTCAGTTGTTCCTTCCATTTCGGGCCTTACTGCATTGAATTGGCTGTTCTCAGACCTGCACACGTGTCCTGCCACTCACTATAGTGTTGCCCCAGGATACTGGACCTTGGTGAAGTCGTGTCTCTCAGATGACCTCACCTTTATCAGTAGTCCTTCCGGAACAGCAATTCCCAAGCATTCTAAACTCCTCTCCGTTCGACACACTCCAGTCCAAACCTTGCAAGAAGTAGAGGCAGTTAGATTGACTGATAGACGATTGTGGCTTCGGATCGTAAATCCTAGTTCTCAACAAAGAAAACTGTCTGTTCACAGTCGACGTGTTCTGAAATTGTGGCTTCAATGGTTGACCGTCTCAACGCCTCTTCGAACAATGCGCCCATCTTTTCAGGCACCTATTCAGGCAGCAGCAGACGCCTCTGCCCAAGGGGACCAGTTTCAAGTTGGAGGTTTCGTGGCATCCGCGCAACAAGTCTTTTGGTTCTCTGAGCAATGGCATGTCCACGAAATTAAGAAGTTCGACATCCCAGTTAGATCCGAAGCTCAGCGTGATATTGCATGTTATGAAACCCTCGCTCAAGCTTTTCTCGTGCTTTTGTGTATCACATTGTGTCCTCATGCATGCGTTCCGCTGCACTTCAAAAGCCTCAGTGATAATGCTGCTACAGAGGCTAGCGGTAACAAGCTGTTTACCACTTCAGCCCCATTGTGCTACTTTGTCGAACACTTGGCACACCTTCTAGTCTCAGCAAGAGTCAGCTGTGATATTTCACATATCCCTGGAATTCTGAACCAAGATGCTGACCTCCTCAGCCGTTGGAATTTTCACGATTCCTTGCCTGTCAAGTTCACAGCGGCCACGAGGCATCGAATGAGCCTCGAGCAGTTCTTCTCGTTTCACCGGGGAGCCCAGATTTATCCGGAAACATTTCCGGTCCAATGGTCCATCAGTAACCATTGAATTCTGCACTTTTCATTCCACTGCCACTCAGAGCGCCTGGGGATACCGGTACCGAGTGTTGTTGGAATGCTGTTTGGTGATAAATGGTCCCAACAAACTCTGGTGCAACAATAGCAGTGAGAGAAAAGTGTGTTGGGCATCTAGTCTTGCTTGGGAGCATGACCTCTTCTCCTGAACATTGTAACATCTCTAGAACGTACTATGTGATTTTCACATGTTGTTTTGTGATGTTTCATGTTCTGCGTGCCATTTTGGTTCTAGAGTACAACGTTCAGCCCCACCCTCCACACCCTAGATTATGCTCTCAACTTCGTTCACCGCCAGCGGCGACCTAGGCTTGACGGCTTCAAAACTGAAGCATCGCGTGAAGGCTTCAACACAGAAGCTTTGCAGTACCATTGCGATCCTTTGGAGGTGATGGTCTAACTTGGCTCTTTTTTTCTAATCTTTTTGTTGTTCTGGCCTTTGAACAACATTAGACCGTCACTTCTGATGTTCAGAAACGCTCAACCAGCTGTCACGAGTTGTTGGTGATAAATGGTCCCAACAAACTCTGGTGCAACAATAGCAGTGAGAGAAAAGTGTGTTGGGCATCTAGTCTTGCTTGGGAGCATGACCTCTTCTCCTGAACATTGTAACATCTCTAGAACTCCGACAGTTCAAGTGGCCGGCAGTGGTTGGCTCGTTCAGGAGTCGGCAGACTCAAGCATTTTGACATCAGGTTGTGCTGGCTACAAAGTGCAATAAGGAAACAAGTTCTGGAAGTGGCACCAATTGGAACTAGACTAAATGTCAGTGACCTTAACACCAAGAAGTTGACAGCAGCTCGCAAGAGGTTTCTATTGTTCTTTTTGGGTGCAACTAGATTCGATGAAAGCAGTGGAACACAAGAGAGCATCGGTGAAGCAGAGTTCATTGAATACATGACGGAGGAAGCATTGAAGGCACAGGTGAGACGGATTGGCAAGCTGGCCAAGAACAAAACAAGCAGAGGAATTTTTCAGGTGGCGATGGCATTGAGTGCTTTTGGTTTGAAAGGATGTGTGGAACAAAATGGAAAGAAGTTGGAAGAAACATCCGGGAACAGTTGGCAGCAGTTCGCGTTGACAGTGGTTGTGTTGTTGATCATTGCATTGTGCAATTTTGTGTTTTCGCATTGGGAAGTGATCCAGACGTTGTTGGACAGGCGGGGACGAAAGAGAAAGCGAGAGCCTGAGATCCCTGACAACGACAACAACGATGCTGATGTGGAGGTGGAAGAGTTGGAGGTGCAAGCTGGTGAACAAGCCAGTGCAAGCACAGGCCCGGTACCTCCAACCGAGCCACCGCCTTTGGGCCCACCACCAAGGGCACCGAAGTTCTCTCCAATTCCTGTCGACCCACCTCCTCGGTGGGACCCATGGTCTCCAGAGTGGTTCATATACTACATGCTTGGAAGAGTCAACAGAAGGTTACAACGTCGAGGACATTCGATGGATCACAATACATTGCTCAGGTATGGTCATCGACGGGACATTTTGGAGATGCAGCTTGGAATTTTGGAGCAGAACCACAGTGAAGGTGTGAGGCGCAGGGCACACATGATGTGTCGAGGGATGACAGATCTCTCACCAGAACCGGAGGAGGAGAGCGTTGGAATGCAGGTACGACGACAACAGTTCAGTACAGCAACGTCAAGCAGTCGAGCAGAACAGACAAACAGAGATGAACAGTTTCGGTCGGAGATTGATTCAAGTGATGGATATTTTACCTCATCAAGTTTGCCAGGGCGAAGTTTGGCTATGCCCTCGGCTGGACAAGAACAGCAGAATGATGAAGATGACGATGATGAAATTGAAGACAGTGAAACACAGTCGCATAGAAGAATGAGGTACATATATGCTGGAATTGAAGAAGTCAGTGATCCTGAATATTGGCAAGAGTTGCATCATTTCAGCAGTAACGACGAAGCAAGCAATTCGGAAGATGAAGACAACAACAATGACAATTGATTTACAATGGAATTTACAATGTGTTTCTTTTGAGGCGGATGTTCTGTGAAACCATCTGAACCACAGTCATCCAGCAACGAACAGATGTATCGTGTAACAGCTGAACCACGATACATAGGTGGCACTACGATTCGAATTCAAGTGAATGTTACATTGGTTGACAGCAAAATTGTTGGAAATGCGTGTAACATCTGAACCACGCATGTGACGTTTGTTGAAGATGAGAATTTGCAGTTTTTGTGCATGGAATAGTGTTTAACACCGGAACGGTGGCTACAAGAGTAGTCGTGGTTGCGAGAGACCGGTTTCAGTTCTGTCTAGTTGATGGCAGATCTCGCACAAATAGAGAAGTGTACAATGAAAAGTTGTGTGATGGTTCAACTGATTTCGTTGACCATCAAGGCGGGGTGTTAGACTTTGTTGCACACCGCATGTACACGTATAGAGCCTGTATAGTTTCAAGTCACTTTGATGTGTAGTATCTGTTCTTATCAGATCAACCGCCATAGCGCTCGGGTTCAAAAGAAAGCTGCTGCCTAACAAGAACTCAGAAGTACGTGGCTCGGCAGTTGACAGAGTTGAGCAAACCTCGAGTGTGGACCTGAGTGTTCGGCTTGATGCATGCTACATGGATGCCATCACTTGTACACAAGACTTGGACTACTTCACAAGCAAACGCATTGCTACAGAGAAAGCCTGTGGAAGTTGGTTGGATTTGATCGCCTGTAATTGGACTGCAACGAAAGTTGGAGCCCAGATCTGCAGTGATCTTCGTGGGGACCCCAGTGGTGAGAGTGCGATTGAAACATTGAAGGCATGCTTTGGCACCAAGAGCCCGAACACTTTGTTGAAGCGTGCTTCATCGTTGAAGAGGTTTTTCAAGTGGCATTCCGGGCATTGTAGAGAAAGAGACGTTCATGTTGAGCCAATTCCCCTGGTTGAAGAAGATGTTTGGAAATACTTTCACTATTTGAGAGCTGACCGTGTAGCAGAAGGCCGAGGTTACACTACGCCTGGATCTTTCCTTGAAACAGTGAGGTTCACCAAATTCACGGTTGGGTTGAAAGGTTCTGAAGATGTCCTGGAGTCAGGGAGGCTGATTGGCTTTGCAGCTCCTGAACGACGTGAGAAAAGACCAACCCGCCAGGCACCTCCAATGGAAGTTGAGCATCTTCGTAGGCTACATGACATTTTAGCAAGTGATGCGAATCTGACTAACAGGCTAGGTGCTGGCACTTTCCTTGTTTGCATTTATGCTAGAGCCCGTTGGTCAGACATCCGCTTCATTCACCACGTTGAGATTGAGGCCAAGCGAAACGGCTGTTTTGTCATTTATACAACTGAGCACAAGACTTCGCAAGTTGGCTTGAGACGAGAGCAGTACTTACCGCTGGTGGTGCCATGGGATGGTGTGGTACATATGGATTGGTTGAAAATTTACTTTGAGCTTTACAAGCAAGCAGGCCTCAATATCAGCAATGTGCCTTTAGGTCCTTTGTTACCTGCACCGAAGATTGGAGGAGGATTTGGAGCAAGGCCATTGAGTACACCGGAGGCCTCAGCCTGGCTCAAACTCTTGCTTAGAGGCACGACAAACTCGGAGAGGTTCCTTGTTGAGCTGGTGCGCACGCTCGGGTATGGATCGTGAAGTCAGGGCTGTGCTAGGACACCATTGTCGTTTATGCCAGAGAGCTTCAGACAAGGCCCATTCGGAAACTGCAAATGCTGTTAAAGAACATCCGTCTTGGAATGAGTTTTGAGGACATCGCAGAGCATGGCGCATTGATTTCGACCACACCGTGTGTTCTGCCACCGAGGCCCTGTGCTTATATCCCGCCTTTGTTGCAAGGACCTCCTGTTCACGAGAAAGAAGCTTTGTCAGCTCGTGTCGACGAAGTCGATGGGGCTGCTGAGATTATGAACCTCGAGGAGGACCTGAGGAGCGTGAAAGAAGAACATGATCTTGAGAGAGAAAGTTTGTCACTGGCTGAACAGCTAAGTCTTTTCCCATTAGGTGTAGTCAATGGAGGCCTCATTGAAATTGAGTCTTCGAGCGGCAGTGATTCAGAGTCGAGCTCTGACACAAGCGATGAAGAGCCTGGAGCACGAAGTCGCGAGCCAGAGAGCTATGCTGAGCGAGTGCCAAATGGGCAGACCTATATGCGAAACACCAAGAGCGGCCTGGTGCACAGCGCTAAGACTTCAGGAGAGTTCACAAAGTGTGGCATCAAGGTTGCAGGGCATTTTGCTGCGCTAGAAAAGTTCATCCATGTCAAGATGCCGAAGTGCCTGAATTGTTTCCCAAAGGATCCCGACCGGATTCGCAAGCTAGATGACCTGGTAACACACTTGGACTTGGCCGTAAGCGGGCAAGGGACAAGAACAAAGAGTAGGCGTTCCGCCTTGAGAGAAAAGTTGCGGAGAGCCGTATCAAGTTCCGTGACGGTCACCATTTTGGAAGTTTGGGTCCGCGCGCGCGCGCGCGCCCTTTTGGGCTCTCAAAACGGCTGTCGGAGGCGCGCGCGCGCGCGGACCCAAAGGGACAAAACGGTGACCTTGCGGAATCTTATAGAGAGCCGCGAGTCAGAGCATTGCTCTGGAAGAATCTTGTTTGAAAGGTGAGAGGAGCGTTGCTCATGTGCAAGTTGCAACAAGTTTTTCTTAAGAGCGAAGGCTCAAGGGAACAGAGTGTGCCATTGGCACTTAAGCGGAAGCGAATGCTTCGCAAAGGAACACGAGCATATCTTTGATATGAGACGTACAAAAGAAAACGCAAACGCTAAACCAACGTTGTGTCTGAAACGTGTAAACTCACTTGCTCAGTGAATCCAGGCCAACATGTTCTCACCTTAACGTGGAACTAGGTTTCTTCTTCTTGTTCACTTGTTTTGTGTAGTTTCTTTGCTGTGAGTGCAATGGCGAATCTGATAGATAGTGAGGCCCACTTCCAATCCAGGGCACTGGAGGTGGGAATGTCTGACGGTGTGCGACAGGCTCTTCGAGATGGTGGCATTCGGACCATGAGCCATCTGGCATTTGCAATCGGCCAGCCAAACCAGCCACTTACAAATGATGAAGTAGGAGCTTTTCTGAGAACCCTCCTATCGAGGGAGGCAACCTTGCAGGAAGTAGCGTTGATCAAGAGAATCACGTTCGAAGTTCAGACTTACTTAGTCGCTTTTTTACGCCAAGGAGTAGAGCAGCAAGATGACACACTACCAAAGAAGATTCCTTTCGCTGAGCGACAGACACGCATGGATGCTTTGAAGACCCGTTTGACAGGTGTGGCCATTAAGGGCGAACTTGAGCCCGCCCATGTTGTTTTGGAGCGAGCTTGTCAGATGTATGACCAAAACATCATAAAGTATTTGGAGCCTTCTGTTTGCATTAGTCGCACATATGAGATCCAAGGAAGCAAACAAACGAGAGAGCTAGCCTTTGAGAAAGGAACAGTTGTTTTGAAAAACCAGGATGAAAAGCTTAGCACCGTGACAGACAGCGAGTTGAAACTCCACTTTGCTTTCACTCGCCGTGCAATCGCTCTGGAGTTCGCCAGGATCATGAGTTTTGATCAGCCCAATGAGTGGGAGACCTTTTTAGTAGAAGCATTGCATCGTGAGAGTCCACCGGGATACAACAAGCCATCCCTGGCCCAGGTCATTCAATGTGACAGAGCAGCCTGGGCGAGACTCGCAAGTACCGTGCACTCGGTCAAGCAGTTGATCGACGGTAGATATCCTGTGGGCGAGGCCCTTTTAGCCCTTCGAGCCGACCCGAACATCACGCTCTACCTGGCACCAGTTGCCAAGCCTGTGCAGATTGAGAGACCGAGAGATTTTCCAAGGCCAGGACCCTATGGTCAACAGTCCGAAAAAGGCAAAGGCAAGAAAGGTAAAGAGAGAGGAAAAGGTAAAGGAAAAAGTGGCGCTCCGCCAATGCCTCGTCAGCTGATCGGCAAGTGGCACAAAACGCCGCAGGGTGAGCCCTTGTGCTTCGCATACAACACAGTCGATGGATGCCCAAATTCGACTACCGTGAAGCCTGGGGAGCGATGTTCCCGTGGATGGCATTTGTGCATGGAACCCAAGTGTCAGGCAAAGCACAGCCTGACTGAGCACAAACATTGACATCAGCCTTCGCAAAGTGAATTCAGGTCTTGGCCTTCAATGCATGTCGAGCAGACTTTCATGATTGAAGTGTTTTGCGGTTGTGCGATCCTTTGTGCCACGGCTAAACAGCATGGCTTAGCTGGATCGATCGCAGTTGATAAAGAGAGGAAGAAAGGTGCTCGTAGTTCTGTGTTCCAGCTCGACCTCAGGAACTCTGAAGATCGCTTGTTGCTGGAGCACTGGATGGATTCACCCCTTTTGCTGTGGATGCATTTTGCACCTGTTTGTGGAACGGCCTCAAGGGCCCGAGAGATTAGAGTGCATTGGTCAGATCCGAGACCACTGCGCAGCAATGAATTTCCGCATGGGCTGCCAAGCCTATCCGGGAATGACAAGCAACGTGTTCTCATCACAAATGACCTCTTTGAATACACTTGCAAGCTTTTCAAGAAAGCGGTACAAGCGGGCATCTTAGCAACAGTTGAGAACCCAAAGAATTCATACTTTTGGGTCACGGATTGGTTCTTGCACCTGATGAAAACCTGCAGGTTGTTTGTCGCTGACTTCCACGTTTGCACGCTCGGCGGCACTCGAAACAAGTGGACCCGCATTGTGGCGAATTTCCAAGAAATTCAGCAGCTCTCCATAGAGTGTGACAAGTCCCTTGATCATGAGCCTTGGCGCTTCGCCCAAGATTCAGACGGAAAGCGAGTCTGGGCCACAAGCCTAGAATCAGCATACCCCCGAAAGATGTGTATTGCTCTTGTGCAATCTGTACTTCAAGTTGCCCATTCGTTCGGCTTGATCCTGCAGCCGCAATCCATGAGAGATATTCATCTTCACCCCCTGCTGAAAGCCCAAACTGCCCAGGTGTCCAGCGGCCTTCAACCCCGACGAAAGGTGCCACCATGGTGCCTGAGTTTACTGCTACTGCTTCTTTTCATGCCGACAATTTGTCGCAGATTCCATGTTCCTTGATGCAAAAGCTCCCCAAGAGCATCACCTTGCGCACCTTCAATGGACAGGCTGTGAACATTCCGGCTGCTTCGCGTTTTCTTCGTTTTGCTCAATTCCTCCCGCACCAACAAGGGGGGGTTGAAAGCAGTGCGGAGGAAGTTGGTTTGAGTGATGTTTTAGGAGCAGGTCCGAGTGAGCTTGACCCTCAACCCCAAGGGTACAAAGTTGTTTTTGGCCTGCCGTGGAGTTATGAAACATTCATTCAGCAAGCGTGTAAAGCTGGTCACCCCCTTCTGGGTGATCATCAAGTCCCACCAGACTTGAAACTTGCACTTGACAAGAACTTGGAATGGAATGACCACCAAATGAGTTCTTACAGAGCAGATTGGTGCAAACGTTGGTTGAAAAAGGCAGTTGAAATGGAGGATGCAGAAAGACTGGATGCCGACACGCGACCTGCACATGTTCGAGCAAACACCAAAGATAAAAAGGTCCTGTTAACAGAACAGATTCTTGCGGAGTTGGGCTATGAAGATGTCCAGGTCCTGCAGATGCTAAAAGAAGGCGCGACTCTTGCTGGTGACTCGAGGAATCCTCGGTTTTTCAAAAACAGTACAAGCCTTGCATGCAGACGATGGATCAGCTGCACAAAGGCGCGACCCTTAAGAATGCGGCATCCTGAACATGACCAGGAGTTCGGGTGACCGAGCTTTTGACGAGCAACTTCTGGTAGAGACCCGAGAAGAGATTAGGAAAGGGTGGGCAAGAGGCCCGTTCAAACTGGAGGAGCTCGAGAAGGATGCCGTTGTTTCCAGAAGGTTTCTGCTGCAGCAAGGCAGCAAGGCTCGAGTGATCGACGACTATTCTGTCAGCGGAATCAACGATAATTGTGCGGCCCACAACAAAGTGGATCTGCATATGATTGACGCGCTGGCGGCCTTGGCAAACCAATATTTCAGGTACTGTGCGGAGAGACAGCTTGACAGTTCCTTGGTTGCCAAGACATATGATCTAAAGAGCGCCTACCGACAGATTCCCATCCGGGAGTCCCATCTCAAGTATGCATACTTCAGCATCTTCAACCATGAAACGGAGCAGGCTGAAGTGTATCAGATGCAGACCCTGCCTTTTGGGGCTACTCATAGTGTATACTGTTTTCTGCGGTTTGCGAAAATGCTTCATTTCATCGCTGCGAGAGGACTGTTTGTAATGAACACCAACTTCTATGACGATTTTGTCCTTGTTTCTAGGGCCGAGACTCAGGACAGTGCAAAGCACGCCATGGAGCTGGTTTTCTTGCTAACAGGTTGGGAGTTCGCCCGGGAAGGGAAAAAGAAAACGGAGTTCTCCACTCTGTGCCGTGCCCTCGGTGTTGTGTTTGATTTTTCCTTGTCCTCGGAGCGAAAGTTGATGATCGAGAACACTGAGCAACGAAAGCTGGAGCTGAAAGAATTGTTGCAAGCTGCCTTGGACCGAGGCACGTTGACGCGTCCCGAAGCTTTGGTGCTTAGAGGTAAACTAGGATTTGCAGACAGCTTCGTCCACGGTCGCTTAGGGATCTTAGTGCTAAGTAAGCTAATCGAACATGCCTACGGGGCCCAACAGCAAATCGACGAGAGCTTGCGAGATGCCCTTCGTTTCATGCTTGAACGTTTGAACTCGGGCAAACCACAAGTGGTTCGTGCTCACAGGCTTGCGCAATGGTACATCTACTCCGATGCCTCATATGAGCAGGGCAACAAAACAGGGGGCATTGGAGGTGTTCTTGTCAATGACCAAGGTGAGTGTGTCTCTTGGTTTGGGTTCAGTGTTGACTCTTAGACTTGCCTAGAGCTTGGTGCCTCCGCCAAAGACACCATCATTTATGAACTAGAGTTGTTTGCCGGAGTCCTTGCGTTAAAATTTTGGAACAGCAAAATCTCGTGTGGCCTTCAAGTATGGTTCGGTGACACTGAAGCCGTCAGGTTCTCCCTGATAAAAGGTTCTGCCGAAGGTGACGTTGCGCAGACCTTGATGCGCATCCATCTAGAGCATGAAGCCTTAAACAGTTCTCAGGCTTGGTTCGCTCGTGTGCCTACTGAAGCCAACATAAGTGACTTCCCTTCCAGAGGAGAAGCGCATCCCATGCTCAAACCCGAATTGTCCGAGATCATGCAGTGTTTGCGAGATCTTGGTGTGCTTGCGTTTGAAGGGGGACAGGCCGTGCACCGCACCCCAATGTTTCGTAAGAGAAAAAAGGAGCGCTGATGTCTTGCTTCGTGAAATCAAACGTTGAATTGACAATGAAGCTCACCGTAAGGGATCGAGTTGTCACTTCTAGTTTTAGGGTGGAAGCACCCGGATTTCACATTTGCTTTCGCTTTGCGCTGGTTCAAGTGGTGGGT